GGTAATGCTTGCCGCGCGGCGGAAGTTCGCGCGACAGCCAATCAATATGTTGTTTTTCCATAAGAGCTACAAGGTTATTACGGAAAGCAGCATATTGATTGGTTGTCGCGCGAACTTCCGCCGCGCGGCAAGCATTACCTCGTCCTGTGTGAAGGAGCCATTATTCGTGTTGTTTGCACTCTTCGCACTTTTCGTATTTAAAATTAGACAGAAGTATATTGGAATGATTCGAAGAAGCAAAAACAACCCGATGAAAAATTTTTCATGCAAAATTATGTATGAAATTTGTCCATACATAATTATGTATAATTATATATAATCATATAAAATTATATATAATTATATATAATTATACACAATTATGTATAACAATATGTATAATTAAATATAAATCTGTACTGAAAATCTATAGTTCATATTATGTATATTATAGAATTTCAGTACTGAAAATCTATAGTTCATGTTACGTATATTATAGAATTTCAGTACTGGCAGTGAATTTCGGAACGCAGCCATATGTAACACATATTATAATGTTTCTAGTAGAGTGCGCCCGGATGAGATATCTGAACGTAGATACGATATTTAGTGAAAAGCTATAGTATATATGAACTATAGTTTTTCATAAAATATCGGCTGTGGTTCCGAAATTCACGGATAGTACTGAAAATCTATAGTTTATGTTGCGTATACTATAGCTTTTAGCACTAACGGTGAATTCGGAACGCAGCCATCGTATACGATATATTTTCGAGAATCACGGCTGCTTTACAATAAATGCTGTAAGTCGTAAGAATTTATCAATCATAATCAATTTATCTTGTAATAATAGATTGTGATTAGCTAAACACTTATAATTATATACTGTAATTAGCTATAACACTTTTAATATTAGAGTCTGGGTAAGGAATCTGAATGCACCTTTCAGCTCGTATCAGACTACGGATTAAGATTGAGATTAAATTGAAAATTGGCCAATCAAAGCAAAGTTCATCAAACTTAAGCTTAGTAAATTTTGCTGATTGGCTAAATTTCAATTCAATCTCAATCCTAATCTATAGTCTGATACGGGCTTTAGTCCCGATCTACAATAGGTGTAGTAAGTTTTAAGCTGTATGAAATTAACTAATCACAATTGATTATTCCTCTATAATTCTATGATTGGTCAATTTCTTAAGGCTTAAAGCTTACTACACCTATTGTAGATCGGGACTTATGCAATATATTTTCGAGAATTAGGGCCCACGTCTATCGACTAATGGGAATAAGTGTTGGAGAATTCACACCGCGTCCGATGTCCGGTATACGACGTCCGATATCCAATAGGAGAACAGCTTTCTAATAAAGAATTCAATCTTCCATTGGAAAGCTGTTCTCTTATTGGATATCGGACGTTGTACGTCGGACATCTGACGCGGTGTGAATCCTGCATAAAGTTGTAATTCACATTATGTCCGATATCCGACATACGACGTCCGATATTCAATAAAAAAACAGCTTTCTAATAGAGAAGTTAATTCTCCATTGAAAAACTATTCTTTTATTGGATATCGGACACAGTTATAGCGTGTTTGACTAGTCCTGGGTTAATCGTTCCGAGAGCAATTAATGACATCATAAGTAGAGATGCCCGATTCTTAATCGATTCGATTCTTTCCCTAACAAATTTAGGAAAAAAAAGTTGTTCGTGCTACTTGCATGTTTCATACTTTTCACTTTTAAAAAGAGATGGACGCCTAATCAGACGCTTGGAAGAAACAATCGAGTTGGTTGTCTCCCCGATAAAAAATTTTTCAAAATGCGGACAGTCGCAGGCTTTAATTGTAGTTTCACGCGTATAGAAATATTGTAGTGAATAATGATTAACCAGTGGTCGTCCACCGTGCGGTTGCTCTCTGTACCCCTGGATGGCGCTCTCGTAGCTTACATGGATCGGCACCTCCTGGATCTCTAGTGCTGCTGACTCTGGGGAACCTCGTTTTGGATCGCGCGGCGGCGAATTCGAATATTCAAATCACTTGTAATTGACCGATGGACACTAGGGAGGAACACCGCACGTCGCGGTTTTGTTTAGGCGTAGGAGGAAATGTACCGTGTAAGGATGTTCGAATGAGAGGGAGTAGAAATAGAATTACTACAGATAATATATATATATTGGGTGTACAACTTAGTTCGGTCCGTTTTCAAAAGATGGCTCTAGGTGCTATAAATGGTTGACGGCGACAGCTGATTTTTGCTATATCGTGAAGTGTCAACATCTGTCAACCAAATATTGTTTACAAGCCTTTGAGTTTTGCACAACAAATTTAATTTTTACTGCGTTGAAAATGTCGAGTTTCGTTCCAAATAAGCACCATTTGCGGGAAGTTTTGATTTTCTGTTTCAATTGGAAGAAAAGTGCAGCTGAAGCGCATCGAATGCTTGTGGAAGTTTATGGTGAATCTGCACCGTCGGATAAATCTTGCAGAGAATGGTTTCGACGATTTCAAAGTGGTGATTTTAGTGTTGAAGACAAAGAGCGTTCGGGTCAACCGAAAAAGTTTGAAGATGAAGAATTAGAAACATTACTCGATCAAGATTCGTGTCAAACGCAAAAAGAGCTCGCAAGAACATTGGAAGTTACTCAACAAGCTATTTCGAAACGACTCAAAGCCGCGGGATACATCCAAAAGCAAGGAAATTGGGTCCCATACGAATTGAAACCGAGAGATATCGAACGACGATTTTGCATGTCCGAAATGTTGCTTGAACGGTACAAAAAGAAGTCTTTTCTGCATCGAATCATTACCGGGGACGAAAAATGGATTCACTACGACAACCCGAAACGCAAAAAATCGTATGTAAAGCCCGGCCAACCGGGAACATCAACGCCGAAGCCGAATATCCATGATGCCAAGGTAATGCTCTGTATTTGGTGGGATCAGAAGGGTGTGATCCACTATGAGCTGCTAAAACCTGGTCAAACCATCACGGGAGACTTCTACAGGCAACAATTGATCCGTTTAAAGCGAGCTATAGCCGAAAAACGTCCAGAATATGCGACCAGACACGAGTCCATAATCTTTCACCATGACAACGCTCGGCCTCATGTTGCTGTTCCGGTTAAAAACTATTTGGAAAATAGCGGATGGGAAGTTCTGGCTCACCCGCCTTATAGCCCAGATCTTGCCCCTTCCGACTACCATTTGTTTCGATCGATGCAGAACGCTTTGACTGGAATACATAAAATATACATATATATATATATATATATATATATATATATATTATATATATATATATATATATATATATATATATATAATGTGTCAATCATTACAATCTGTGTCCAATCGTATCGTGGTCAATCGGGTCCCACTCTTCAATTGGCTTTTGTTGTTCATTTTTAATGGATGTAGGATTCTTATGTCAAATGCCAATTGTCGTATAATCATAAAAATTAAAGTCACTATAAGAAATTCTACTTACTTTGTACATAATATGCGAGCGTAGTTGTTCCGGACGGAATGTTTGCGTCCTCGCGGAGCGTGTACGGCGGGCGGCCAAGCCCCAGGCGCCGCTCGACTCGCAATCGCCGGTCTCCCGCCGCCCAGTGTGCCCCGGCACCGCGACGCGGCGAC